CAACGGAGTCGCCAAGCTGTCGTAATCGGTTTTCGACCGGACACGAAATTTTCCTTGGCTGGAAAAGTATGTGAATAAATAAATGGATTTTTTAGGAATTGTTTTGGGGGTCGCCATCAACCTTTTGGGTTAGGTAGATCGAATACTTAAATATCATCTTTTAAAAGAGTTTTTAAGAAAACATCAGTTTAAAAGATAAATTGGTCCGCGTTTAACCAAAATTCATTCTTTTTAGTAATAAAAAAAAATTCGTGGTCAATTACGTTTAGGGAACGATTAGAACCCCTATAACGCCCAAAATTGGTGCCCATCAATTATAAATTGTCTCTATTATTGGAAATTTATGAATTTGAATATATATTTAATTTATAATCCTGTTATTTCAAATTTACTAGGAAAATTCTAAGAGAATATATAAAAATAACTTTTATAAAATTAAAGAATACATACATATATATATATATATATATATATATATATATATATATATTAGGTTTTTATAAATAGGATATTTATTTATTTAAAAATATCAGAAAATGACATCTAGTTACTTTAAGACAACTCCTTTCTTAATATAAAAATAAATAAATATCATTGAAATATAATAATTTTTCCTATAAATTTTATATAAAATTTAAGTAAATATATATATATATATATATATATATATATTATAAGTAGGATTTTTATTTATTTAATAATATCAGAAAAGGACATTTAGTTACTTTAAGACATCTCATTTCTTAATATTAAAAATATTAGCCTTTCATATATATATTCATATGATTAATATAAAATAAAAATAAAATAAATAATAATAATTAAAGTACTAAATTTAAAATATCAAAAAATAAAGGACAATAATAATAATAAAATAAAATTAAACCATGACCAAAATAAAAGAAATTAAAACTATAACATCATATTCAAAAATAAAATAATAACAGAATTAATTAATCAATAACATGAAATAAAATAGAAATTAGCATGCGAAAATCAAAATAAAATAAAGAAAGAATACTGGTGACCAAAACGGAAAACACGCCTAAACTATAATGGTTTATGGGTGATTAACCCACTAATTAGTCATTTAAATATAAAAACAAGCTAAAAGTCTAAGGATTTTAGCGTGATTTACCCCAAAAATTAAATTAAATCCCCTATTAACTAAAACGCAAAATTCAGCAAAAATACAATGACTTAAATTTGATTTAACCCTATAACTAATGGCTAAAATATAAAATATGGGTAAGCTAAGAGTACCTAAGGATATTTTACCCAAAACATAAGATATATATATGATTATTTCCCTCTTTTTGGCTAACCTAGTCACTTTTATTTTCTTCTTCTTTTCCCTCAACCGAGAGAAGCCAAAGCTTCTCCTTTCTTCCTCTTTCACAACCGGCCGAGCAACCCAAGTGACATCTCGCCGTCGGTCACCGTAAATCGGTGGCTGTTCAATCTTCCGACCACCCCAAACAAAAACCCGAAACAAAAAACATTTCCCCTTCATACATTTTCAGTCCTGATTTGGGACTAAAATACCAAGCATGAGACTTGAAAAAACTCAAGTCTTCCTCCGATGTTTCGCCGGCGACCTAAATTCCGACGAAGAAACAAGAACGAGGTAAAGCCACTCCTCTTTACTGTTTTTTATTTCGGAAAAAAAGATAATAATAAAATGTAAAGCTAAAATGTAAAGAACCTTTGCTGTGATTTTATTTCTGATTTTCTCTTTTTATTCTGATGATTTTTTCGTAAAAATTTACATATTGTTCTGGGGTTTTTATAGCCCCAGTTTACAAAATAAGAATCGTTACAAAATGAGAATCGAAGATGATTTTTCCTTTCTCCTTGCATGTGTGGCTGCTGGCATTTGCTGGAAGCTGCTGGAACTGTAACGTGGATAGGCTGCTGGTAGTGAGGTAAAAATGGTGCAGAACAAGATGAAACTACCTCTTCTGAAGTCCCTTCATGAGTTTCAAGAGCAATGGCCAAAGCAGTACGAAATGTTCTTTCAGCACGAACCAAGCTTCTGACATGGAAGTTACTATGGAACTGCAAATTTTATGTCGGCCACAATCACATAAATAGCTAAATAAATAATCAAAGTAGTCTCTAAATAAAATCAAAAAACACGCACCTAAGTAGCAAAAGGAGACAAAGCATTTGCAGTTATATTTGAGATCTCCGATATCTTCAATAAGTTAGTAGGAAGTAGAGAAAGTAAAGAAGCCTGTCAATGCAATCAGAATTCTTCAGAAACTGGAATCTGTTCGAACAATTGTCTTGAGGCATAATACAAGGCACAGAAAATCAAACTGAATAAGAGAATCATCACAGGCATTATCAATTAATCTTGCAAGTAGACAAAGCAAGTGAACCTTACGCACAAGTTCAGCCAATTCCTGTTTGGAAAAGAAGACATCTTTTTGAGTTCAAAACATGAAACTGCAAAGAATTTTCATCAACTAAATCCAATGTTTAGTATCAATAGAAGAAATGTAATGCACCTTATCTTTGGCAGAAGCTCAACGAACAGGCTCCCGCCCATCTGAACCTGATGGTTCATCAAATTCGATAGTCATCCACTTCGTACGCTCATTTGGAGAATGAACAACAGTATCCAATTTGGGAATTGAACCATCTTCCCAGTCTGAGTCATTCATGTCTTCACTGTCATCAAAGAGAGTATATTTATGACTTCCAATAGCAACTTCTAATTGAGAACTTCCTATGGCATCTTTACAAAAATCTTCTGACTTTGATGCATTCTGTGCAACCGTTGTATGCACAACTTCTTCATCTGTATTTAGGTCATTCTTGGCAGCAAATTCATTGTGTTCCTTCTTCTCTGAAGAACCACGTCGACAGGAACGTCTTAGAAGTTTTTTAAATTTCCTCTGTGAATTTAATAAATGTATTTAAAATTTTCATTTATTTAATTATTTAATTGATTTTTTTTATTTTCATCTTTTATATAAAGAAATTAAATATTTGATAAAAAATGTTTTTATTTAAATTTAATTGTAAAATATATAAATACTTAATAGAAATATATTTTATTTTTTTGATCTAGTAAAGTGGGTTTTCCACGAGTCTAACTCAAATAAGTTCCATCAATTTCTTTTAAATATATTTAAATATAATATGTTGATATATAACACAATTGTACATCTAAAAAAACATATTAAAAAATAAATACGTCGGATAACCATCGACCACTGTAAACCATCATCGAGCACTTTAAACTCAACTGCACAAAAGTTAAAACCGCTAAGGATCTTCTAAGCACTCAAAACCTTACTTAGATGAAATTTAAACTTTTTAATTTTATAAATTCTATTTAGAATGTTTTAATTGGTTAGCACCTAATTATGAGGTTAACGGAATATTTTGTAAATTACATTTATTTTGTTTTTATTCTATTTAGATAAAAATATTAAAAAAATAAAGGGTTGACTTAGAGTGTTTTAATTGGTTGTTGATTTTGTTATTTAACTGAGTTTATGATACGGGATAAACAAAGTAATGATTTAAACTTTAGGGAGTAAAATGTTTTGAAAAGTATTTTACGAGACAACTCGGTATAAATTATATACTTTACGGGACAATGATGCATTTAAACCTTTTAAAAATAAAAATTAGAAATTAATTTTTTTACACGATGCAATCGAATATTTCGATTGATAAAAAAATGAAAAAACTTTTAGAATAAATTACATATAAAATAATTGTTCAATGACCTATTTGATGTTTTAATTTTTTTTTGAAACTTTAATGATGAAAACAAAAATGGATGTCCCTTTTTCCCAGGTTGAGAGCAACTTCCGTAAGAGACCTCCGAATTATGAAATGCCCTCCGTGGGACTCGATCCCACGACCTCAAGGTTAAGAACCTTGTGCTCTACCAACTGAGCTGGATGATCATTTATGTAATTTACCCTTTTTTATTTTATAAATTTATTGTGCCACATTAACAATCCTTAAAGGTCTAATAACAACAGTTAATCTTCAGTGACCATGTCTTAACTAAATAAAGATGAAAGTGATTAAATCTTAATTAAATAAAAATGGAAGTGATTAATCTTGAAGTTTACACTAAATTTTATAAGAATATGGAAATAATATTTTGAGATACATTAAATTTTAGATATATATCAAGTTTTGAGATATAAAAGAATTCCATGTATGTGTTTTTTTGTGATCTATATTGGTTTTCTTATTCATGAAGGTATGAAAAAATTAAAGCACATTAAATTTCACATATTCTGTGTGATATATTATATATTAATTTTGCTTTAATTATTTTCCCATTTTAAATTTATAGTGGTATCATACCTTTTTAAAGGTAATTCAATGAATTTTACTCTCTCCCCTATTTTATTGACTGAATTTTAAAAGTTTTCAATTTTCTCGTTAAACTTCACACATTGAGTTTTTTTTGTCACTGAACTTTATTATCTCCTATTTTGGCCACTCAGTCGTTAAATAGTTAGCGACGTTAAAAATCATGCTATTTTAAAATACAAATTTTTCACCAAAACGACGTCATTTTGTATCTATAAACCCATTTTAACGCCAATAACTATTTAGCGGTAAAGTGACCGAAAAAACCTAATGTATTAAGTTTAGTGAGAAAATTGAAAGATTTAAAGTATAGTGAATGAAATAGGAGACGCAATAAAGTTCAGTTAACAAATTTGTAATTTACCTTTTTTTTTAAATTATATCATACTTAAATTTCTAATAAGGGTCAATAAATAGAACTTTTGTTGGTACACTCTTGTAATGCAGGGATTATACAGAGCTGATGCAAAAATGTTATCTTTACTGTTTGAAATGATAATCATCCGAATCCTTTCCTATTATTAATCATACAAATTACCTAAGGTTGTGACGAATTCCCCTCATAGTTTTCCCCAATGGAAGAAAACAAAAGCATGAAAGGATAAGAGGTCACATTCACTACAGTATTATCATCATCATCATCACCAGCAACCTCAAACTCAACTCCAACCCCACCTTCTTCCTATTGCAATTTCTTCTCCCCGCTCTTGCCTTACGAATCAAAAGTATAGTTTTATATCCCCAGCAGCTGCTGCTTCTTTTTAAACTCCCATTTCTCATTTTTGCCCAATATTTTATGTCGAAAATGTCTTAGGCCTAACCTGTTATTGCTCTCCAAATCTGGCAGAAATAATACACCAAGTATCTAAAATTCAAGGTATAGTTTGAAGGAATGATGGGATTAAGACCAATTCTAGTTTCAAAGTATAACCCACCATACTGCTCACAAACCTTAATCACCAGCTACAGAAAACCCACTGGGCTGAAACACTGCAAGGAAATGCCTGCAAAAAAGCTTATCCACTCAAACATGAACAGAAGGGTGGGAGTCATACTCATAGCAACAATGGCTTCTTCTTTACTATTGAAGAGGGAAGAGAATAGTGCGTGTGGACTTGAACTTGACCTAAGAATGGTGGCACCAGACCAGACTGTTGAAGAAGCAGAAAATGGGATTCAAAATCATGCAAAAGCTTTACTGAAAGTCAAAGATTTAATTGAATCCAAGGCATGGCGTGAAGCTCAGAAGGAGTTAAGGAGGAGTTCTTCATTGTTGAAGCAGGATATTTATACTATCATTCAAGGGAAACCTGGAAATCAAAGGCCTCAACTTAGGAAGCTTTATTCTAATCTTTTCAACAGTGTTACCAAAGTAAAGATTATATTCTTCCCTTGTGTGTTTGCTTTGATTTTGATTGGGTTTTCATTATTTTGGTTTTTGAACATTTCAGTTGGATTATGCAGCAAGGGATGAAGATGAATCCCAGGTTTTGCAGTGCTATGATAAGATTGTTTTTGCTCTCAACGATATTTTGTCAAAACTATGACTGGACTTTTGTAGTTTTTCTTTTTACTTGTTCTTTGTGCTATTGAAGCCAATTCCCAGTTAGCTAGGGGATTCCTTTTTTTTTTTTTTCTTTCAACTAAATTTAGTTCATACAGACAACATCCAGCAAGTTTGAATAAGGACCTTGAGCAATTGCCTCTATATTGATAATGTTATTCTCCCTAAAGAATTCGGGTTTAAACTAGATCTGCAAGATGCGTACACGATATCAATAAACTAAATAAAAATATCTTATAATCGTATTGAAGTATTAAAAAAAAATATTGCATCTTATCTCGATGTGGCAAAACTAACTTTATTTATAAAGGGCAACCATTTACATTTATTTTCAGCATAAAGCCAGCTGTGAAAATAAGCATTCAACTACAGGTAATGAAACCTCTTAGATTATACAGAAAGGTGAATGTTTGGAATACAACCCATTGATATCGTTCACTCTAAAACTAAAAACGAAACGGGAACAAGTAATGTAAGATCTGTGTTCAATCTTGGATTTCTATACTCCCAATATTCGATCACCTCAACCATCTGACATTATACTCTGAAAACAGTAACTTCAGTGAACAACTAAATCAAGGTTACCCAGTCACTCCGGGGAAGAGTTCTGAAATTTTGTTGAATACATCCATAACCTGAAATGCGAAAACAAAACATATCAACAATAAGTCATACCGAAAAATCAACTTTAAAATCCATATCATCTATGACAAAGAGCTAGAAAATGGAACCAAAGATTAAACAATAATCAGATGTGCCAAAGAGGGAATCTTAACCAATTCTCTGCAACCCTCATTGGAACATTAAAAGCAATACATTTGCATGCAAGTGAACATGTTGGTTTTCACACGTATATCAGACAAGTGGACTAAAAGCAAAAAGCAATCTGATCTTTGAACAAAAAGAAGTGGCCATTTTCGGTCGGTTCAAATAAACTGGACTTATAAACATCGACAACATACATTTATTAAGGAAAGGAGAGAATTTTGCTTAAAAGGGCAGATAGATGCAATAACATAAAATGTGGATAGAAGGCCTAGATGTACCTCCTTGTCATTTTGGAATTTTGCAATGCTCAATGGGTTTTGTGAACACTGGGAAAAGCAGCAAGAGAAAAGAACATTAATACTAAAGAAATAGTATTCATGCATGACATTGAAAGAGAATTAACAATTCATCAATAAACCGGATAGAACATACATCCATTATAGCTTCTTGAACTCTAGGGTTTTGGAACGCCATGGCAACTTCTGGATTGGCCATTATTTTGGATATCACTTCTTCAGGTGTAAGCCCAATCTGATCTGCAAATGGAAAAGGAAGATATTGAACCCCTATTCAGGTAATAAACTATATTTTACCATGTGAGGACTAGACCATCTAAAAACACTGTGTATAACACAAAAAAAATAAAAATATACATCAATAAATTCTTATCCCAAGCATTTGAAAACTTCAATAAGAGGTTCAGACTTACCGAATTGCTGCTTTACCTCAGGACTGTTGAGATCAAAATTTTTCAAGGAATCCATCATCCTATTGTCCCATTCAGAACTTCCACCCATATTATTTCTGAAAAATATTATCAAGGCGTACACAAAAGTGTGTGAATTGGAAACGAGCTTGTTAATTTCAATTAGGGGTGTCACGTGTTAGTGAGAGAAGCTCCAGCTTCTCTCTAACCCGCGTTTTCAAATTTCAAATTCCCCCAGGCGTTTTTGAAATTTTTTCTCTCCTCCGACTTACACCCGTTGTCCACCGCCGTCAGACGCCGCGCTGGCCGTCACGTCCGGTGGCCGTTGAACATCAAAACTTCCATATTTTTTCACCTCGACGCCAGCATCAAGGATCTAGGCTTCGTTTCACCAGGGAGAGCCTACAACTCAGTGGATCTTGGACGTGGCCCTTCGACTTTTAGCTGTTGGCGACGCTTCTTTCTTTTTCTCCGACGACGGCGCGATATACAACAACAATATAGTCATTATCTTTACTTTCTCCATCTCCTTGCGTCTGTCGTCTCTCCACAAAGCAATCAAGTCAGCCACGTTCGTCGCTGATCTTTAGCTGCAGTTTTGGTTCTGTTCATCACTCTTTCTTCCTTTGCTTTTCTTCAACGATAAAGCAAAGCAAAAGAAATGAGTTCTCGGAAACTTGAAGTGGGTCTTGCTACCCCTCTCCATTACAAGTCCTCTCGGCAAAAGCCAAGGCTAGCTGCAGAACATGCTTCGGCTTCGCAGTCTGTGGAGGCGGGGATTTCCAAGATACAAACTGCTATTGTGGCATTTGATCACCTTGTTAATTCCCTCGGTTCACTTAAAGACACCGCTGAATTACGTGACAAATTGCATAAGACAAGGCTTGATATTTAGTAGCTCGTTAAAGAGTCTTCAGCTGAACTAAGGGAAGCAAGAGAAGTTGTGCAAGATGCAGAAACCTTAAAGAAATCTGTCGATGACAAGCTTGCAGCTGGGAGGGAGACAGTAGATTCATCTTCCGTTCCTAAAGAAGTTCGTCCATCAAGTTATGATGTCCATGTGCTGGAGGAAAAGGTGACCAAGAAATGCGAGGAAGAAGATGAGATGAGGGTTGAAACTGTAGCTCTCGGGGCTAAGGCTGGTCGTCAGTCTAATAGTGGGGATAAAGAGATTGGAAAAAGTTTGAAAATTCCGGATAAGGTGAATCGAGTGGAGATTTTGGTTCCGAAGGTTACAGAATCGGAGCTTCATAAACAGAGAGTGGAGCAGCGAGCGCCGACTTTGAAGATAGTGGAAAAGGCCAAAGAGAAGCAGTGTAGGACTGCGACGGGGGAAAAATATGAGAGGATGCTGTTGGAGTCCACCTCAAAGGGGTGCAGTTATGATAAGACTGGATGCTATACGTTATTTATTGATAACTTACCAGAGAACATTCACTGGAAGAGGTTTGGATCTTTATTTCGCTCTCATGGTCGGGTTCTTGATGCTTTTATTCCAAATAAAAGAAATTCAAAAGGAGTTCTCTTTGATTTCATTCGCTTCGCAACTATCGATGAAGCAAGGAGAACGATCTCAAAAATGAATGGTTCTCATATTGACGGAAGCAAAATTGGTGTTTATTTCGCTAAATTCAAGCCTCGACAATCTTTTTGGAGAAAGTCCTCGACAGGTGTTCTTCGCAAGTTCGGGATGGAAGATGTTTCGAGGAAGAATCATTATAAAGTTGAAGGTGCTATAGATGAAGAAAAGCTTCAGGTGTTGAGCAATTGTCTAGTGGAGTGGTGCAAGAACTTTGTCAAAATTGGTCATCTCGCCAGACAAATGCAAGCGAAGGGCCTCATTGGCTTCACCTTAATGAGAGCCGCTGGTAATGCGATTTTAATGATTTTCGAAGACAATGCTTCATTGAGAAGCGTGAAGAACGATAAATCAAAGATTCTCGCAGAGTGGTTCTCCATAGTCGAAGCTTGGTCAAAGAGTTTGGTAATGGAGTGTCGTCGAGTATGGTTAGTTTGCGAGGGTGTTCCTTTTCACGCATGGAATTGGGATACTTTCAAGAACATTGATGATAAGTGGGGTTTATTACTAGCTATCGACGAAAGTTGTCAGTCTCCATCATCCTTTGATCGGGCAAAAATTCAAGTCCTCACAAAGGCTGATGCGAGAATTGATGCGATGGTGGAATTGAAGGTTGGTGACAACTTCTTCAAGGTCATGGTGCATGAGATAGAACCTTCATTCAAACCAAACTCTTGGGCTCCTGAAGAAGACGAGTCTCATTAGATTTTGTCCCTTCAATTGTGGTTGTTTTAGTCTATATGGTTGTAGGTGTTGCTTTTAATTTGTATTATGTTCTGTTGCGCTGTTTTATTCCTACTGCTGGTGGTGTAATTAGAAGGTGATTTGACTGTGGCTTTGGATGAGGTCATATGAGGTTAGGTGTTTGTTGTAATGGTGTACATCACCATGAGAGGATATTCCGTGCTGTCTTTTATATCGGGTATTTTATCAATAAAATTTGAGGTATTCTTTTCTTCCTTCCAATGTTCGTTAACATACCTTTAGTATGTGAACGAATACGAAGGGAGTTTTTAATGAGACCTCCAACTTCTATAAAAAAAAAGTGTGTGAATTGACTATAAACTCAACCAATTCTAAATAACAAGAAAATTAATAGTAACCTTAACACATATAATAGAAGAAAATAAATAGATCAGCATCAATTCAAATCAATAAGTTTCACCTTAAATCACAACACTTATCTTTCAACATCATTTGCAAAAAACTCGAGCAGAATGGTAGGGAATAATTTACACAAATACTGACTCTTTTCAAGCAGTGTAAGAGTACATTATGGTTCCCTTTATGCATAATATGAATAATTATTTTAGCATCAATGAACCCCCAAACATTATGCCTTCCTGATTGATTGAAAATCAAGAAAAATTACGTAAAACTAAAGACCTGGAATCCAATAAATTCATAAAATATGAGATGTGACAACAGAAAAATAGAAACAAAGGATTGAGAAAGGCATCCATGAATGTGCATTACAGGGTAATCAGAAAGCCGATTTTCACTACAGTGTCGTGCTAATTTCAAATGTGGACTCTAGATACTTATCATTCCTAGTTCTTACTCTTCAAGCACAATATAAACATTTAGGAAAATGCTAATGAGAAATCAATAGCATCTTAAAATTGTACCAAACCAGCATCATTCTGGCTCCACCATCTATCCGAAATTCTAATTTCTAACATCAAGACCAGGAATCATGCAACAATAAACATTTTACATAAAATATTATAACTGAACAAGAATCTGAAGCAAACACGTTAATTTTTCGGAGTCAATGCTTAAAACTCGAAATCGTGAGAAAGACAGGCTCATAAAAATAATCAACTGCAGAAGTCAGAAAAAGCTTACAGCATGTCTTGCAGTTGTTGACGGTATTGAGGATTTTGTAGCATCCCTGTAAAAAAATATGTGCAACAGAAAGAAAATTGTTATATATTAAAAAATCATCCATAAAATTTAAGCATGCTTATATATTAAACAAAGAAATCACTTTTAAAAAAGCAAATAACTCCATTAGGGGAATA